TGTCCGAGGTTGTGGTTGAGGTGCCGCTTCCGGCCGGCGCGAGGGCAAGAGACGTGGCGTGCCGCGTGCTGCCGGCCTCGCTTTCGCTTGCGGTGTGCGGCCAGGCTGTGCTGCAGGGATCGTTGCTGCGGAAGGTGCTGCCTGACGACTCGGATTGGGTGCTCGAGGATGCGCCCGGGCAGGGGGAGGGGAGGCTGCTGCGCCTCACGCTGGTGAAGAGGTCGCCCACTGCGGGGCTGCAGCACTGGACTAGCGTGCTCGCAGGTGCGTCGAGCGGGTAGACTAGCCCAGGTGCACACCTGTATCATGGTTATTTCTTTTTCCTTCGCGCAGAGAGATCAAACTTCAAAGAGAATCGGCGTTGTTGACGTGTCTTACGTGTACGTAAGCTGTAGAGCTGTTTAACATTAACTTTGGGCCTAACAGTTGCGCTAGTGTTGGGTGAAATCCTTAACGTTGTTCAAGTGTGTTCACCCCAGCTCATGCTGTTACTGTTTGTTACTGTTGTTACTGTTGTTCAGCGGTCAGCAAGCAGAAAATGCCAAAAACCCGGGTAAAACCCGAAAATACCTGGGGGTTTCCGGGTATTTTCGGGTATTACCCGCACTGGACGCTGGAGATTGTCGTGGATGGGTCACTGGACACTGCCAGGCCTTCCTTATTGTTGTTCAGCCGGCCTAACGTTAGCTACTGTTGTTGGGAATACTCAAAACGGCCAGGTATTCCCAGACTGAAGGGCGCAGCGCGGACTGGCACACACATAACGAGACTCGGGACGGCCGTACTTTGCGCGTGCGCGCGGCCTGGCATGCACGCGGTGGCCTCGCCCGAGCAACCAGCCGACAGTGGGCCTGCCCAGCCTTCTTCTGAGCCATCCCCAGAGACTCCCTCCGCTGCCGTCGGCCCCGCAGTCCCGGCCGACATGCCCGCCGCATGGCCTGCGCACACGCCACAAACGCCAGTTCAACAACCCGCAGGTTTGGCAGCTCTGGGCGGGAGCCAGCCGGGCTCGCTGCCAGCTCCCACCACGAACTTGCCACCACCGTCAGCCCCTGCCGCTCTCTCCGCCAGCACCATCGCTCCCGGCGCCTCCAATCCATCCTTCACCAGTGCAGCGACAACCACACGAGCTCCATCCTGCCTCCTGCTGCTGGCCACCAGCCACAGCAACCAGCTGATGCACCAACCACACCGCCCTGCTGGCACTGCTCATCTCCTACTGCTGG